CTCGCCTGGCATGCATGCGGCCCGGGTTTGATCCTCAGCACCACATACAAACAAAGATGTTGTGTCTGCCGAAAACTAAAAAATAAATATTAAAATTCTCTCTCTCTCTTTAAAAAAAAAATCCCCCAGTCTTCTGTAGCTTGTCTTTTCATTCTCAAACAGTAGAAAGTTTTCATTTGAAAAGGTTCAATTTATCAATTATTTTCTTTTTATGGATTGTACTTTTAGAGTCATATCTAAAAACGTCTTTGCCTAAACCAAGGTCACAAAGATCTTCTCCTATCGTTTTTGCTAAAAATTTAGTTTTTTCTTTTTTTTTTTTTTAAAGTTCTTACATTTAAGTACTTGACAATTTTGAGTTAATTTTTTATATGGTACAAAGTATGAATTGAGCCTCTTTTTTTCTTTTGCCTATGAATATCCAATTGTTCCAACACCATTGTTAAAACCACTCTTTACTGAATTGCCTTTGCATCTTTATCAGTTCTCTATATATGTGTAGATCTATATGTATGCGCCTATCTTCATGCCTCTATCAACAGTGTCTTGATTTGTTGTTTTTCAAAGTGATTTTTGATTCTTTGCATTTCCATATGCATTTTAGAATTAGCTTGTCAATTTCTACAAAATAATATTTTTACTAGAACTATACTTAATCTACTGATCAGTTTGGGAAGAGCTGTCTTTTAAGCAATATTGAATCTTCTGACCCAAGAACACAGCATTTCTCTTTCTTTTTAAAATATTTTTTTAGTTCTCAATGGACCTTTATTTAATTTATTTATATGAGATGCTGAGAATCGAACTGAATGCCTCACACCTTCTAGGCAAGCACTCTATTACTAAGCCACCACTCCAGTCCCCCATTTCTCTTTCTTTAGTTTATCTTTAATCTTTCTTAAAGAAGATTTGTAGTAGTGTATTGGTATTGCATATCTTCTGTCAGATTTATACATACATATTAATATTTCTGATGCCATTATAAATGGTATTGCTTTTGAATTTCAACTGCTGATTTTTCTCTACTAATATACAGATACGAATTTTGTGTGTGTGTGTGTGTGTGTGTGTGTGTGTGTGTGTGTGTGTGTGTGTGGTGTGATTTTGGAGCTCAAACCCAGAGCCTAGGGTATACTAGGCAAGTGCTCTACCACAAAGCTACATCCTCAATCCCTATAAATAAATTTTGTGTATAAATTTTGTATGCCTAATTTGCTTAGTTGTTCTTATATAGTTGTTCTTATAGCTTTTTAAATTTTTGGGGGAAGGTTCCATAGAATTTTCTTCATTGATTTTTATTCTTATTGTTGTACTTTTACTTTATTTATTTATTTATTTATTTTTACTTCTCTAAAATAACCCCATTTGTACCTAGGATTTATTTGTTACAAATGTAGAGGTAAGGTAGGTATGAGAATGTCTTCAGCAACAGAAGCCACTCATCTGGATTAGAAGGATGCCAACCTGGAGAGTCTCACTTGGAAGTGGACAGCTGAACTGGTCACAGTCACAGGTGTGGGCTTCTTTATTTAAAGTGACAGGCCATCCAGATGTCTAGACACTCTACAGGAGGAAAGCTGAGTGCTCCTGTGTTGTTATATTCTTTTTTCCACTTACTTTGAATTTAATTTGCTCTTTTCTTTTTTTAAACCAGTTTCACAATGTGTAGGTTGCATTCATTGATCTTATATTTTTTTCCTAAGACAGGCTTTAATGTTGTAAAATTCAATCAGTACTGCTTTAGCAGTATCTCACAAATTTTGAAATACTGAATTTTAATTTTACTCAGTTCAAAATACTTGTAAATTTCAATTTTGATTTTTTTCTTGATGTGTTAAGTTATTTATAAACGTTATTTAGCTTCTAAAATATTAGGGTGAATTTCTAGATATATTTTAAAAATTCT